AGAGTCATCTGAAAATATAACCCTATAAAGTAGTTTAACAATTTAGTAGTGAACCAGAAACATTGACCCTGCGCTCTTTTAATAGTAAGTGCTACTCCTGGACATCCCCACGAGCACCTTGCTTACTTGATAACCGACCACTGATTTGTAAATCACGGCACTCTGTACTCTCCTTGGTTCAAAATAGGCATCACACACACTTCTTACTATTTCACGGGGAGACTTTTCATGGGGATGATTTTAATACAGTTTCATAATTTGTTATAATGCAAAATGAAATGAAAGCGAAGAAGACATTTAAGAGGATTGTTATTCCAATGAGAAATTCTTCAGGAAGGTGTATCTTGCTGGCTCTAAGCCAAGAGCGGCCCATTTTCTGCAGTGCCTAGCAGAGGGGGCCTTCAGCCCGCCCAGCGTTCCCCCCTGCTCCCTTTACTGCTTCCATTCCTGTTCCTAGTGCACCAGAAGAGAGGGGCAGTAGCGTAGCTCCTGGGCATGAAGGTGTCTCTCCTTCCGTGGTACAAGGACAGTGCTCACTTTGATAGTCCTTTAGCCAAAAGCAGATGATAGAACACAGAGTTGGAAGCAGATGATAGAACACAGAGTTGGAAGCAGATGATAGAACACAGAGTTGGAAGAGACAGGCAATCACTCAACCCAACTCTTAGGGTGTTACATTAGAGAGAGGAAAAATGACATATGGTTAGTCAGGAGTGGAGCCAGGACTTACACATTTCTACTGTGATTCATAGCTCAGTATTTTATACATTCATTAACTTATTCATGCTTTTATTGAGTACCTACTATATGCCATTCAATTTGCTAGGCAATTAGTGGGGTACAAAGATGAACAAAACACTCAGGTTGTTCATGATGTAAGATGGAGGAATCGTATGATGACGCACTTACAATGAGCAAGTAAGTGCTGTCATAGAGAGTCTGTACAAGGAGTGATGGTAGCAGAAATAAGGACATTTATCTACTATTGGGAAGATTGGTGTCATTGAAGCCAGTAAAGGGCAGCTTCAAAGAGAACAAGTTTCTTATGCAATGCACAGAGGATGCTGTGTGATAGAGGGTGAAGAGAAGGGCATTCCCTTGATACTTAAAGTGGGGTGAAAGGGATGTTACTATCACAAGAGAGCTGTGTTCAAAAGAGTGTGGTTTGCTACTTTGAAGAGATGCTCCATAAATCAAGTTTGGAAAATTCTGCATACTGTGTTTCTGGCTTTGTGATTATCCAGCATTTAAAAACATTTTTTTTCTATTTATTCTTTCATGAACCATGTTCGTGTGTGTGTGTGTGTGTGAGAGAGAGAGAGAGAGAGGAAAGGGTGAAAGGATGCACTGACTACCTGTGAAACACCTGTGGGAAGAGCTACTTTCCACCTTCTTCCACAGCGTCACTCATCTGTCTCTTGATTTCCATCCTCCAGGCACCGCTGTCGTCCAAGCCCATATTTTGACATCCCTGTACATTTGCAATGTCACCTAAATACTTTTTCCCCTCAAATACTAAATACCACCATCTAATTAGTATTTTTTTTCAAACTTTAACAAGGTTTATCTTTTATGTATTTGCCCTTATTGGGTAATATGTTCACATGATACAAAAATTTAAAGGTGCAACAGGATTTGGGGCACCTGGGTGGCTCAGTTCGTTAAGCATCTGATTTCAGCTCAGGTCATGATCCCATGGTTTGTGGGTTCGAGCCCTGTGTCAGGCTCTGTGCTGACAGCTCAGAGCTTGGAGCCTACTTTGGATTCTGTGTCTCCTCTCTCTGTCCCTCCCCTGCTTGTGCTTCTCTTTCTCTATTTCTCCCTCTCAAAAATAAACAAAGCTTAAAAAATTAAAAAAAAAAAGTGCACCAGTATATATAGTGAAAAGGCATTCTCTCATCTTTTCCCCCCACCCAGCCAGCTCCCCTCTTTATTGTCAACCACTGTTATTGGTTTCTTGTATATTCGTCTAGAGAGATTTTATAAATGTACAAATTAGAATTTTCTTTTTCTCCCTTTTATACATAAATAGGAGCATAGGTTAAACACCATTCTGTTCTTTGCTTTTTTTTTTTTCTTCACTTAACAGTATATCTTGGAGATCTTTCCCTATCACTGCACGAAGAACTTCTGCATTCTTTGTTCAGTGGTATTATATTCCACTATATGGTGTTACCATCATCTATTTAACCAGATTCTACTAGGTAGACATGGTGTTGTTCCCAGCCTTTGCTATTACAGGTTCCTAATGTATACTGATAATTCTTTATGTATATCGCTCACCTTAAAAAACATGCTGACTGCTAACTGTTCACAAAGTACTTTGTTTGGCATTCAAGGCCTTCTTTAGTAAGGCCCCAAATAACTTTCTAATATTGGTCCATGCCAAAATGAACTTTCTTTTAGGTCCAGTGATCAAATTCAAAGTCTTTTCCAAATACCTCTTTAACTCTCTTCTTTATACTTCCCCAAATGAACTATCTTCTCTAGCCCCCAATCATAATTTCTATCATTCCCTAAAAGGGCCTTTGCTGTTCCTGGTCCTCTGGCTTGGATCCCTAAATTTTGCTTCTGAAAGTTGTCTGTCCTCTTTGACTTATCTTGAATTTCACCTTCTCTGCTGGTCTTCCCAGACTTCCTCACTTCTTAGTAACGTCTTCTTTCTCTTGGAAATACAAGCCCTTGCTGTAGTATTGCCCTTCAGACTTACTATGTGTGTATGTACACACATGTGCACCCAGGCATGTGGTGTTTCTTTTTAAAAGTGTACAAGTCCTTTATGTCCTTTTCCCCCCCTTTTTTTAATCCACAAGATTGTGAAGTATTGAAGGGCCTCATTTAGTATTTTATATACACATCTTTATGGCTCTCAAAATTACCCAGTACAATTCCTTCCTCTATAGGTTTTTATTTACTCATCTGTTATCCTTAAACGTTCAAAAATCTTACCTGCTGCTTTAAGTCAAAACCCTTGTCAGCTCTCCTTTTCCCCCACGTTGATCCTGGGATGAAGAAGGATAGCTGGTCAGCTGGGACTTGAACTCTTCCTCTGCTCCTCCCTTACCTCACCAGATCTAGCTCTTCTCCTTAGCCAGATGGACCCACCCTTGAGGCTCCGCAAAAGCCTCACATTTCCTGTTTCCATGACAACATACATGCCATCGTTTCCAAAATTCTGTCCCATTTTTCTTTCTAAATCATGATTCCCCAACCTCAGTGAAGCCTTTATGCCATAGACTTTTCCAGATTATCTCTTCCATGTGTCTAATCATTTAAACAACTAGAAATAATGATAATGAGAGCTTGCATTGTCAAGAGCTTTCTATGCCCCTGACACAGTCTAGCTACATTATTTGCATGATCTCACTCCTCACAACCTAGAAGACAGACACTACCTGCAGTGTATTTCTCACAACCCACTTTTTATTGAACAGTGTGTAAGTTGTATCTGTGACTTTTTATTGTCCAGTGTCCTTATGTATGTGTGGGTTTATCCACTCTGATGAGTGGCCAATACCCTTGATTTCCCAGGAGCCAGCATCTGCATGGTCCCCTCCTGGGGTGTAAATGAGGTTGTATGTAGGGAAAGTGAATTCCTTCTAACCTTTTCCCAGAAAGATTGTGGCTGATAATTCATACATACTTTGCAAGAATGATTTTTATTCAGTTTTTGGATTTTACAATGTTTGTACTGTTTCCTCATTTCCATCAGATTATACATTTTTCAGACACAGGAACGAATGTATGCTATACTTCCTGGAATTTGTAATTGCTAATAAAATTATTAATGCAGATTTTCCCACATCAAATAGTTAATTGAATTATCAAATTAACTTTGTATTAACTTCTTTTTTTTTGTCTTTTCTTATTTTTTAGGAAATCATTTGCCAGAAGAATACTGTGAGTATTTTCCCTAACTCTTCCAGAAATTTTTTATCATTTCTGTTCCATCAACAGAATGGATTGGTTTTTTTTAATCTCCACAAATTATTAATTTCTATCTCTGTTTTTCTTCTTTGGAGTTGCTGATGTATCAATATAAATATGGTTATTTTATCTAAATATCTCCTTACAGTGAAAATTTATAAATAGTGGGAGATGACACTGATGCCTGTTTGTTTTTGTTTTGTTTATGTTTATTTATTTGAGAGAGAGAGCACATACACACAAGAGCAGGGAACGGGCAGAGAGAGAGGAAAAGAGAGAATCCCAAGCAAGCTCTACTTTGTCAGCACAGAGCCTGACGCAGGGCTCAATCCCACGAACTGTGAAAATCATGGCCTGAGCTGAGATCAAGAGCCAGAGGCCTAACCAACTGAACCACCCAGGCGCCCCAATGCCTGTTTTCTTTTAGCATATATAGTTATATTTTGGAATAAAAAATGTTTCCATAGTATATCCAGTTTTGTAGCATATGCACACATGTGCATATATGTGTATGTATATGTACGTATGTTTGTATGTACACACATATAGATATCTATATCTATGTATAAATTATATGGCACAAATTATAAGTACAGATAATACACATATATACACATACATGCATAGATACATGTCTATGTATTATCTGTTTATCTATACAGATTGGCTTCAGTTCCTGAGTCTAGTCTGTCTTTGAGGCTACACTACAGAATTCGTACTTTCCATGCAGTAGTAAACAAGAGTTAAAAACTGATAAAAGTAAATTTCAAATTTTAAAAATGCATGAAGAAAAGTGATATAATATCATATATAAAGGAATCAGCCTTGTTATGCTAGTGGTTGTATTTTTCATTTGGAAAATTAGCCAGCATTTAAAAACCTTAAAGAACGTATCTCTACAACTTAGATTGGAAATAGCACCCTACATAAAGATCTGCACATGGTTTGATTTAAGATAGTAAGATTAAGAGTACAGTTGGTAGTTTGTCCTTCGATCAGAAAGTTTAAAACTTAGTGTTAAGATTGCACCAAGTCAGAGACTCAGTGCCACAAAATGTTTTCATTATGCACTTTTAGTCTTCACATCTTGATGGGAAATGAGCAATTATTGCTTCAGGCATCTATTTAGCATTGCAGTTTTGTTAAACAAATATTGATCATGTATTGTGTGCCAGGCTTTGGGCTGGATGCCACAGGGATTCACTGTGGAGACTGAAAGTGGAAGCAAGCAGATTCATAACTGCTCCATGACACAGCAAATGACAGGTGCCAGAGTCTAGCTGGAAACAAATAAGCAGAGACACAAATTAGAAGATTTACGCAAGGAGGTGCGCCTGGGTGGCTCAGCCGGCTAAGCGTCCAACTTTTGGTTTTGTCTCAGGTCATAATCTTATGGCTTCATGGGTTCAAGCCCCGCATTGGGCTTTGCTGGCAGTGTGGAGCCTGCTTGGGATTCTCTCTCTTCCTCTCTCTCTGTCCCTCCCCAACTCATGCTATCTCTGTCTCTCTCAAAATAAAATAAATCAGCTTAAAAATTCTTTAAAAAAGGAAAGAAAATTAAATGCAAGACAATGTGCTGAAGAGTGCGTGGCCATGCATCAAGTGGTCCCAGAAGGTCTTTCTGGGGAGGTAGCATTTACCTGAGACCTAAATGGTAGGAAATTGCTAACCATGCCCACTGATGAGTCACACATGTGGAGAAGCCAGGTTACAAGGTGACTGGAATATTGTACATTATGAACTGGTCACCTGTTCCCCTGAGTTAGCTGCTGGATTTCAGCTGCTGGGCATCCTTATCAAAGTTGAGTGTTTTGAGCATATATTTCAATATGTTTGAATGCTTATGTTCACCTTTATGTAGATTTTAAAATTGAGAAACAGAGTCAGTGTGTTTTTTTTTAAGTGATGATAATAGAATAAGACTAGATTTTGAACTGCAGATTTTTATAGCCCCAAACACAGGCACGAGCCAGAGAGATAGATAGCTGTGGTCATTTTAGGAACACGCCTCAGTGCTTTGAAATGCAAGGAAATGTGGTCTTTCTTTTTCAAGAAGCAGCTTTAAGTATTTTAGAATTGGTACCTTATTAATAAGAGGCAGTTGTTATGCCTGAGGTGTGTTTGTTCTTGATCACATAGTGTTTTCTTTTTTAATTTGCTTTGGATTTATCAGTTATTTCAAACTCTGGGTACAATAGCAATCCCATAAACAGAAATTGCAACAATAATATTTCTAAGTTATAAGTGAGCCAACCCAGGAAATAAATATTCCCATATTATTAGTTTTCATTATTTTGAAAAAAAAAGTGCTTTTCTCAGCAGGTGGTATCTTTTTTTTTTTTAAATTTTTTAATGTTTTATTTATTTCTAGGAGAGAGAGAGAGAGAGAGAGAGAGAGAGAGAGACAGCGTGAGCAGGGGAGGGTCAGAGAGAGTGGGAGTCACAGACTGAATCAGGCTCCAGGCTCTGAGCTGGCATTCAGCACAGAGCCCGACGCGGGGCTCGAACCCACGAACTGCGAGATCATGACCTAAGCGAAAGTCGGATGCTTAACCAACTAAGCCACCCAGGCGCCCCATGGTGGTATCTTTTAAAGAAACACAGTGTCACCACCAAACTTCATACTGGCTCCCCCCGCACCCCTGCCACCCCTGCAGGCTCACTGGTGCTGTCTCTTAGTTCAGGGCTGGTAGTATCCATGTGCCTCCTGCAGCTTATCAACCTCCACTTTGTTTGGACACCAACAATGGGGAATTGAAAAAAATATGTACTTATTGCCTTAGAAACAGGGAAGAGACTCCAAAACGTGCAGTGAGGCCAGGAACTTAGAAAAACCTTGGCATGCTGGTTATTTTCAACAAGGATTCTGAAGCCTTATTCCACAGGATTTGAAGAAGACAGTCGCAGGAATACACTTTTCTCTGCTGTGTGCAAGACTCTCATTTTACTTTCTTTACCCCTCCAGTGCTGATACATACTCAGACGTCTGAGAGTCATCTTTTCCCGGGATTAGTTTTACACAGACGCATTATTCCCCAGTGTCCAGTATTTCAATTGTTCTGTATCCTATTTCACGTCTTATACACAAATACACGTGGTATTAAGGCTTCTGAGGATACAGAACTTGGTCCAGCAGCAGCAGAAAAATATTTTGAAACACTAATAATGTTTTTCTGGCTTATTGGCTTTTCATTGATTCTAATTTTTGACTTGGAAGATTCAGAGCATTTTCTTTTTAAATTTTGAGTTATAGTACTTATCTAAAACAGGTACATTTGATTCTATTGCTCCTTTATAACCCACTCACAGTTAAAACTCTAGAAACCTTAGGAAACAACCTCTTGGTATACTTGCCTTTCTTTTCTGCTTAGGCAGTGAATCCGGTGAAAAGGATTACATTGGGGGATATACTATAAGCATTTGGAAACAGAAAATATTTCCAATGTTTTAGTTTTTTTGAGACAGAGAGAGACAGAGCATGAGCAGGGAGAGGAGCAGAGAGAGAAAGGGAGACACCGACTCCAGAACAGCCTCCAGGATCTGAGCTGTCAGCATAGAGGCCGACACAGGGCTTGAACCCATGAACTGTGAGATCATGATCTGAGCCGAAGTTGGACACTTAACCAACTGAGCCACCCAGGTGCCCCTTGGAAACATTTTAGAAACAGGATATGTTTAATTTTCCTCTTCCTGACTAGTCTTCCAAATTATTGTTCCATGAAGGAGAACTTAAGAAAGGAATAATTTAATGTACTTGACGTAAAAATCAAATCCCAACCTCTGGAAGTTCTTTTCATACTTTAAGTGAAAGTCAGGTCCTGTTTCAGCTCCACTCCCAGATATACAAGTGCCTCATAGAATATGTTCATAAATAATTCAGTCTGGCCATAAGAGCAGTTGTCACTTCTCGTCTGTTTGCTGTGAGGCTATAGCTTGGCTCATGCAGGGGTCCATGAAAGTGACCTGAGGCAAAGTGTTGGTGTGTCAGCAGGTAGAGGCCATTCAGGAGGATGCCGAGCCCTCTAACGATTATGGCGTAGGCTGGAGTCCCAAACACATCACAGACCAGCTGCATGACCTCCATTAGCCTAATCTGAATCCTCCTGTAAAACAGAAATGATAGCACCTTCTTCTGTGGGTTGTGGGGAGCGTGTGACCATTTATCCCTTGGCACGTGCAAGTGGTGAGTCAATGTTTGCTCTTGTATGTTTAGTTGTAAGGGTAAGAGATGTGTTGTTGCCTGTAATGCTGAAATGGCTAGGATCTTGCAGTCTGGGATCTCTGTGCTCCCCAGAACAGTGATGGGGTTTCCCACATAACTCATTCTACTTCTCAGCCCTCTGCCTTTATTTCTCTCTCTCTCTCTTTCTCTCTCTGTGGCTTTTCTCTTAGAGGTCTCTTGCGTTTCCTTAGATTCAACCACACCAAATACTTCCCAGGTCTGTACTTTTGTTGGAAACGCTTTTGACATTCTAATCATGTATTTCCTACTATCTTCTGGACATTCTCACTTTAGGGGCTCAGCTCCCCTTAAGTCACAGCCTTCCTAATAGTGAACATTTCACCCTTCCCACCCCAAATCAGATATCAACCTCTTGAAATTCCTCTCTATATTACCTGGAAGTCAGGTTCTCTTTGTGATTTATTACCTGATCTATAACAAGTGCCCCTGACTGTAATATATTCATAAATAATTCAGTCTGGTTCTGCTTTTTTACTGTTTTTGTTAATGGTACCACTCTTTTTAGGTAGCCCCATTTAAGACTGTGATTATGTTTTCTTTCCTGCTCTGAATCTGTCCGTGATTCCCACTGCCCAGCACATACAGTTTAAAACCCTTAGCTTTGCATCCACTCCCTTCCCTGAGCTCTAAGATCTGGTCAGACTTCCTTACTGAGGGATGTCCAGTCCTATTTCCTCTTCCTTCTTCCCAGCTCTACTTTTGTTTGCAGCAGTGTTCCCTCACTTGGCATCACTGGGAATCAATAGAAAGTGGGGATGAGTAAGTGGAGAGAGGCAGGGGCTGAGGCCAGAGAGAGAAGCAGGATTTGGATGGCCAGGCCGTTGTAGGCCACGGGGACATGTCTTATCCTCATCCCAGCAGCGAGAGAGGGGTCCTTACGCAGTGAGGGAAGTGATCTGATATAGGTTATTGAAAGATCACTTTGATGGCTGGGTAGACAATAGATTGGAGGGCGAGAGTAGAAGCAGGGAGACCAATTAAAGGCCAGGGATGTGGCTCAGGCCACGTATGTTGGTGGCATGGTCTGCCATGCGGGCAGAGAAGATGGAGGGAAATGGACAAATATGAGATCTATACTGGAGGGAAAGTAGACTGGACTTTGTTAGGATCTGGGTGGGGAGGGAAATGGAAGTAACAAGGAAAACTTCTGGGTCTCTAGTTTTAGTAACAGAGGTGGCTAATGGAGCCGTGACCATGACAGAGTAGACTGGTTGTTCTGACATCACTCACAGCCTCGCCTGTCAGATGGACAGCCCTTAACATTAGCTCTTATTCTTGTCATGTATTTAGACTACGTCTCTGTGATCAAATTTTAAGTTCCACAGAGGCTGAAGGCTGTGTTTTAAACGACTCTGTTTTTCCTGCAGAATATATCACAGTGGCTTAGCTGTGAGAAATGGTGAATAAATATTTAATTAATTGATGGAAGCTGTGCCCCACTGTGTTTTTTATGAGTTGTTTTTTTTTTTTTTTTGCATCATCTGTAAGCCCTAATTATTTAAAGTAAGCAATTAAAGAAATTGGAGGGAATTTCCCTTTTCATAGGTCATAAATAAGAAATGAGGTTTTTCTATTTACTTCACTTTCAGGATTACTGTTGAAAATGAGTCACTGCAGTAGGACTTGGGGTTTCATGAGTGTGGGGTCTCCAGGTTGGCTCACCACCTCCGGGCCCTTCCTCTTTCCACAGATGTGCACTGGGAACTACACATTCGTTCCGTACATGATAACTCCACATAACAAAGTCTACTGCTGTGACAGCAGCTTCATGAAGGGGTTGACAGAGCTCATGCAACCGAACTTCGAGCTGCTTCTTGGACCCATTTGCTTACCTCTTGTGGACCGTTTCATTCAACTTCTGAAGGTGGCACAAGCCAGTTCCAGGTAAAGTGGAATAATGCCTCTCGGTGATGATCACAGAGTGCTATGCACCTTATCAGAGGTTTCGTAGAGGTGGCACAAGCCAAGAACCAGGAATATAAAAGTATGATATCCTCTAAGTAGATAAAAATAGATGCCACATAGTTCACTTTATTCACAGAACAACCTGAGACCAGAAAGGAGAACAAAAAAAAGACTGCTAACTATTTAATAATGGTAGAGATAAAAAATATATTCAAAGTAAGTACAGAAACAGTATCAGAATAAATGTCCCGGGCCCTTTTAGTATAGGAGTAAGAACTCTGCCAAAGTTGCTGGCAGCAGTTTTATATTTTAGTTAAGCACGATCACTTATGTAAATAAATGATGATGCTGAGTCAGAAAGTAAAAGATGTATTCAAATCTTAGGCGCACCTGATTTATTTGGAACAATTCGTATTCACAACAGTACAATGAAAAGGTTTTGGCATCTCACGTGGTACGTGGCGGTTTGTTGGAAAATTCAGTAAGATGCAGTATCTTTGCCTAGTTCTTTCTGAAGCAAAGCAGCGTGCTAAAAAAAGGACTCCCAAATTTCTTAATAATGCGCGATCTCTGAGGTGTTCATTCTCTGTACCTTGTGAACTGAAAGCTACTAATGCTGCAAATTTCATTTCCTTATACAATCATTGCTTTTAATTGGAATCCTTTCTAGTATATTAACTCTTTGAAATGTGTGTTTTCCCACCAGCCAGTATTTCCGGGAATCTATACTCAGTGACATCAGGAAAGCTCGTAATTTATACACTGGTAAAGAATTGGCAGCTGAATTGGCAAGAATTCGGCAGCGAGTAGATAATATTGAAGTCTTAACGGCAGATATTGTCATAAACCTGTTACTTTCCTACAGAGATATCCAGGTGAGGAGATGCTTAATGTAAAATCTTCATCATGTAGCATGTTGGAGGAAAAAGGGAGAGTTAACATCAAATTTCAGTGAGCTAAGAGGTTATTCATGTCACTACATGTGATCGTTTATTGACTTTGCTAAGCTTTCCATCCTAAAAATCTATAATAAATGAAAAAAGACTCCTATGAGTTAACTATCCTTGAATGTGTAATGAGGTGTTTGTATGGTAAAGGTCTTTTTCTGCCAGAAGAACAAAAAAAAATTTGCATGCATACTTAATCTGTGGATAGTCGATTCTATTTTGTGAGCCTCAGACACACTCATCAGTCAGTATATGAAAAGTTTGTTTTGGCGAATAGCAGAAATGTGGGGGGCTTACTTGACATATCTCTTACTCCTTAAAATTGTGTGGTTTAAAACTAATAGTGCTAGATCTGACTAGCTAGAAGCAAGACATATACAACTGATTGATTATGAAAATAATTTTTTAAATATATCATGGAAAACACACCAACATACCATATGGTTTTATTGATCTGTCTTACATTTTTTTAAATATGGTAAATAGAATCCTCTCTGAGTTGGGGATTTGCTGTTAGATTTTTAGTGTAAAATGTAAGTGACTTCTGGTTTCTTATTCCCAGCCTTTCAGGCCCAAGTAAAGCTTTATGAAGACAACAGAAATTTACATACATGTAGAGGTGTAGTACTTAGGGTCCCAAGACTAGGGTAGCTTAACACGTTATCATCTTGTTACATATGACAGAAGCTCAGTCAGTTGCTCCATGTCCTGGATGTTTCGAAAATATTTCTTAAAAAAAATTATTTCTTTGAAAGTAACTGATGAGACACTGTATACCTGGAATCTGGCTCCACGGAGAAGTAAGTTATCCATAGTTAGAATAGTATTATCATGCTAGATGGCTTATTATTTGGGGGAGAGGGGTCAGATGTGGTAACTCTGTATTTTAATGTTTTTATCTATATAATCAAATTTATTATTTAAGCAGAAAAAAAAAGGTTTCTTTTTGGTTCTAGATTCCTCAAAGTCTTCCAGGGATTTGAGTTCTCTTTTTAAAACCCTTCTCAGATTCACGTATCTGATTATCAGAAAGCATTTCGTTGTCAGAACTTTTTCCTAATGGTTTAATTCTGTGTTACTCTCCTCTTGTTTGAAAGGACTATGATTCTATTGTGCAGCTGGTAGAGACGTTAGAAAAGCTGCCAACCTTTGATTTGGCTTCCCATCATCATGTGAAGTTTCATTATGCATTTGCACTGAATAGGTAAGAAAAAAACCTTGCTGTCCACAGTGTGCTAACACATTGTTTTATAACCCGCATATTCTTTCTAGGGTATGTTTTCACCATAGCATTGCAGCCACTCCCTATTAGAATGTAATATTAATATTTCTACTTCAACCATATGAAATATTAGAGGCATATACACTTAATGTTTTCAGTAAAAAGAAAAGGCCCTCACAATTTGTCAACTTAAATTCTTAAAATTCTTTCTCTTCTCTGTCAGAGTTTGTATTTGCTATTTGTACTTGTTTAGAATTTTTTTCAATTGCATGAACATGATGTTATTCTTGGGCAGATATCCTCACCACCAAGTAGTTTTCAGTTAAAAATTTACTAAATAAGGTAAGAGTAGTTATGTCTAGGTGAACATATTCCTAACCAAAGAATATTTTCATTTCCACTGCTCTGAACACAGTTTTTATCAAAACTCCATTGGCCACATTTTAGGGCACGTATCCGTGAGTCTGCTAAGACCAGCGTGAACACCCCTACATCTAGTCCTGCCTCTGTGCCTTCTGTCCGGATCATGGCACACACCTCAGTGCCACTTTCTACAGTCACCAGGGAGGCCATCCATGCTCTGGCTGCAGAGAAGCCCAAAGCACTGAACTGTCCAACCTCGTTAGTTGTGCTGTACTCTTCCATGATGGCAAGTTGAATATATATGTGGTTTCCACAGCTGAAGAGAATGAAAAAAAGAAAAAGGAGGGATGTTGTATCTCCAGGGCACTTCCCATGTGTCACTTAAGGCTTGATTATTTTATTTTTATTATTTTATTTTTAATTTATTTTTTAGAGAGAGAGAGACAGAGCACAAGAGAGGAGGGTCAGAGAGAAAGAGGGAGACACAGAATCTGAAACAGACTCCAGGCTCTGAGCTGTCAGCATAGAGACCGATGTGGGGCTTGAACCCACGGACCGTGAGATCATGACCTGAGCCAAAATCAGACGCTTAACTGACTGAGCCACCCAGGCACCTCAAGTCTTGATTATTTTATAGATGAGGAAACTGAAGTTGGGAAAAGTTGGATAACTTTTCTTCAAGGCCCATAGTTAACAAGTCATAAACCTGAGGCTCAAACCTAGATCTGCTGATGGTGATGTCTGTGTTCCTCATCCCAGGGTTCTCCTGCCTCTGTCTACAAAGAACAGTGTCAGCATGCTATTCAACCAGAGATTGTTCCTTTCTTTCTTTATCCACCCAAACTGTAGAACTTGCTGACTTTATCAATAAATGTGGAATCAAAGTAGATTTCATTTCCCCATTTATAAACATCAGTTTCTTTGGATTTGACCAAGTGAGTAAGGCCTCCAGAGATTACCAGCTCCAGCTGGCTCTCAGATAAACCTTTTCTGAAAGATGGAATGGAATATGTTCTATTTTGAAATAAAAAATGAATGTCCATAAGAACCTCTTATATTTTTCTTCATCTGTGTTTTATCTTTGCCTTTTCTATAATACAATATAATGAATTGATAAGCATATTTTTATGAAGTGTTATTATAAGCTCAAGGTATTTAGGACAAAGTAAAAAAAGTAATTTCATAGACAGGTCTATTTAAAGTCATAGTGGAGAATAGCAATAACTTTTTATAGCAGCTTTATTGAAATATAATTCATATATCATATAGTTGACCTATTTAAGGTGTACAATTCAGTCATTTTTAATATAGTAACAGAATTGTATGACCATCAGCACAATAAGTTTTGTGGCTTTTTCATCACCCCAAAAAGAACACCCCCTGCCTGTTAGCAATCACTCTCCCTTTCCCCCCCAAAATCTTCTGGACCTAGGCAATCACTAATGTACTTTTAGTCTCCAGATTTGCCTATTCTGGACATTTTATATAAATCAAATTATATTATATGTAAGATTTTATATAACTGGCTCCTTTTACTTAGCATGTTTTCAAGGTCCAAGAATAATTTTTAAGAAGATTTTTATCTGGTTTTGAGAATAGTCTATACATACTTGCTATTTTATTTTTTTAATGTTTATTTATTTATTTTGAGAGAGAGAGAGAGGGAGAGAGTACGCACATGCACAAGTAGGGGAGGGGTAGAGAGAGAGAGGAGAGAGGAATCCCAAGCAGGCGTCTCACTGTCAGCACAGAGCCCAACGCAGGACTTGATCTCATGAACTGTGATATCATGACCTAAGCCAAAATCTCCATATACTTGCTATTTTGAAATAAGCTACATAAACTTCTTTCTTAGATGATCAACTAGTGGCACAAAGACATTGGGCAACTCTTGGGTTAAAGTCAGTTTGTTGGTGTTGTCTGTGAATTGAGTTTGCATAGTGTTTTGGAGCAAAAGCCATTGAAACCTAGAGTCAGGGTTTGGGCTGTGTTTGGATTACTTGACTGCCCCATTTAAGGCCACAGACCATTCCTCATCACTCCATGCCCTTGAACCTGTGGATCATGAACCTATGGACCATGAAATTAGAAGGACTCTAGATAAGTAAGTGCAAATCCATCACCACAATCAGGAAAGCAGCACAGAAGTGATCCTTGTTAGACCCAGTAGACATGCAATAGGATGAAAAAGACAAAAGAGACTTAGGACAGAGGTTTACAAGTGACTCTCAAAATCTCATTGTGAACCAACATATCAAATAGAATTTTAAAAAGATAATTACCCTGCATTGCTCCTATAATCTGTATTGAAACAGTGATGTTTTATTTCCCTACCTTAGGAGAAATCTCCCTGGAGATAGAGTAAGAGCTCTTGACATTATGATTCCCCTGGTGCAAAGTGAAGGGCAGGTTGCTTCAGATATGTATTGCCTAGTTGGTCGCATCTACAAGGATATGTTTTTGGACTCGAATTTCCTGGACACTGAAAGTAGAGACCATGGAGCTTCTTGGTAAGTAGATACGATAAGATAATTACTTGATAAATCCATGACATGAAAAAAGTGGTTTACAAATGAGGGCATTGAATTATTATTGTCCTTTAGATTGTATATTATAAAGTAAATCTTAGAATTTATAGCTTCAGTGAAGACTTCTGATGAAATTCATTTAATCTGGAAGAATAAATTGGGGTAAACTGGATGGGAGGATAATTTGAGAAAATAAAGTTTTATGAAGATATCTTAATATGCAGTATAATAATAAGCATATATTTTGTGGAAAGTTTATAAAAGTTTCTAGAAAGACATGAAAGAACACTAGAATGGATGAAAAATTTACAAAATTTGTGGGTGAGAAGAGTTGATATTTTAAAGACGTCAATTCTCCCAAGCAGGGCTCTCATGGAACTTGGCAAATTGATTCTAAAATTTATTTGAAAAAACAAAGGGCCAAGACTAGGGAAAGCAATATTGGAGAACAAAGTGGAAAGACTTGCTCTACCAGATAACAAGACCTACTATAAAGACGTAATAATTAAGATATTGCAGTATGAGTATAGGCATAGACAAACACTGAAACCGAAGAGAGATCCTGGAACAGGCTGAGATATGTATGAGTCTAGATTTATGACAGCAATCTTCATGAACCAGAGTAGAAGGGGTGGACTCTTTGAGAATGGTACTGGGAAAATTTGTTCATCGGCTTGTAAAAGTAAAAGAAAATTAGATTTATACTTTAAGTCATGCACAAGAAATGAAATCCAAGTAAATTAAAGGCCAAACTGTTTTTAAATACTTTTAGAATAAAATATACAAGCTGTATTTATGACATTGGGATAGGAAAGAATTTCTTAAATGAGGCTTGAAAACACCATTAATCATAAAAAGAAAAGATTGGGAAATGAGAGTGCATCAGAATTTTCTTCTGCTTGTCAAGGCTCTGGCTTCTGGAAATGACAGAGTGGGTTCTATTGCACTGCTCCTCCTGCCAATAACAATTATAAACATTGGAAAATACTTAAGAAGGAAAAAAGTTTGAAAGTATTGGAGAGTGACTAAAAGTAATCAGAAACTGGAAAGGTTTTGATTCTTGGATAAGGGGTATACCACATTGGGTAAGATCCACATTTAAATGATTTTTCCCTTAGGAACAGTCGCTGATCTGCAAGGTAGAGGACAGATAGAACTCAAGAAGAAAACCACAGTCTTAGTGGCCAGAGGAGTTAGTTTGAGGCTGCTTGGAAATTGAGTGAGATATACCCACTAATGGCACAGAGACAAAGGCCCCCAAACCTTTATATAAACTTCAGTTCAATTCTGAGCTGATCCCTGACATGTGCAAGTGTTGAGTAAAACTCAAAGAAATCCAGGTGGAAAATATCAGCTAGAAGTCTTAAAAGAGCTTAACAGAAATTTCAGCAGCTGCCCAATCCAGTAGAGATAGATTTCAGATTTTGAACCTGAAGTTAGAGGGGCATCATAAACAGTCCAAGCTTTCTACTGAAGCTCCAAAAGGGCCAAGCCTTAGGAATAAAAATGTACATCTCAGGACTAAGGAAGTACACTAAAAATTAAGAGCAAATCCAAGACAAAGCCACCCCAGTAAGAGCTAAAACCAGGCCTCCACATGATCAAGGTAAACTACCAAGAATGTATTTGCCTGTTATAACAAGACTGCATACTCTTAAGAGGAATATAACAGAATCCAAACTCTACAATATCATCCAAAGTGTTTAGTACACCATTAGAAATTTCTAGATTTATAAAGAAATAGTTAAGTGGACAATGTCAGGTGTTGTGCAAGGATGTTAGAAGAATGGGAGTGTCTCCTGGTTGTGGTAGAAATTTTTATGACCACTTAGAGATTTTGGTATTATCAAGGAAAGTTGACAGCTAGCTTACCCTAGAGCCAGCAGATCTACCCCTAGTTATGTATGCTAGAGAAATTCCTGAAGTTCCTCTGTATACACTTAGGACATGCAAAAAAAAAAAAAAAAAATTGAGCAAAAAAAAAAAGTTGAGCAAAATGAACAAATGGCAGAATGAAATGTGGACTACAATATCATTTATGGAAACTTTAAAAACAATTCTACACATCTAGTAATGGTCATAGATACATGAATGCACATCATAACTTCCCAGCTTAGTATAATGGACACCAGTGGGGAAGAAGAAGCAGAAGGGAGTAAGTCACAGGTAGCTGCAAGAAGATTTAAAACATTTCATTTCTTAAGCTGAGTGGTGGGGATGTGGGGGTCCTGCTTATAATATTTTTTCTATATTTCTCAGTATTTCTAAAACATTCTTTTTTTTTTTTTTTTTTTTTTTACAAATAGTTTATTGTCAAATTAGTTTCTACATAACACTCAGTGCTCATCCCCAAAGTGCCCTCCTT